CTGAACCTGTTCAGCCTCCACAAGAGAAGGCTGAGAGGGTGGCCATCTGTAAACTTACCAAGGGGGACCAGCGGGGAATGGGAGAGACCCTCTTCCTTCGAGCAGTACCTACAGAACTAGGAATAACGGCCTTAAGTTGACTGACAATAGGTTCAGGCTGGACATCAGGAAGCACTACTCCAGTCAAGGTGGCTGGGATCTGGAACCAATTTTCAAGGGAAATGGTGCTCGCTCCTACCCTGGGGGTCTTCAAAAGAAGGCTAGATAATCACCTGGCTGGGGTCATTTGACCCCAGTACTCTTTCCTGACCACGACAGGAGGTTGGACTTGACGATCTGCTCAGGTCCCTTCTAACCTTACCAACTGTGAAACTATGTGATGCACATAAGGGAAGTTTTGAAATTTAACATTATGCTTTGTACTGTACTTTTTGAAGTATCAGTGATTGGAAAGCCATGGAATTTGTCTCTAAATTAAAGCAGTTACAGTCTGAAAATGCGTCAGGACAATGTAGAAAAACTTTAGATCATAATTAATTTAAGAGTACAAAAACCTGGAATAAGACCTATCCTCAGCAAGATGCATGAGTTATGTGGCAGAAAGATGTATTGAATCCTAAAACTGCTGAGCCACAAGTTGTTCTTTGAACTGTTAACTGCTTTCATCAGATTGTTGCATGAAAACAATTAAGAGGCAAGACTTGAATTGGAAAAATATAAACCCCAAACAGTCAACATGTTGTTTTATTAAGCATAGTGTTTGAGGGAGCCGTAAGAGGGGATCATAAACCAGGCTGTATGTATCCAATAATAAAATGATTGTAGATCAATTTTAAAACAATGTCTGATTAATGTTGTTTAAGGAATGAAACTCATTACACCCTGGTGTAAAATATAAAATAGGTTTTGTAAGTTTTTGCAAAATTAACTACTTCCAATTTTTAGTTTTAATTTCTTTCAAGAAGAGCCATTTACCCAGCCTTAGTTATATCAGAAATAATTTTAATAAAAGTATAGAAATTCCCAAAATATTTTGAATGGCTGTACACATTTGTCTGGTTCTATGTGAAGTTAATATGGATGCAGAAAAAAGTTACTTCTTCTAAATAAGAGTTGTTTTGAGTTAATATTTAGTCGGACGTAAATGCAGTTCATTTTATAACACCTGGCAACAGATTTAGAAAATCAGATTTAAGTATGCTGATTCATTTGCCTTTAAATGTTTAAGATTTATAGATTGTAAGCAGCTGGAAGGAACCTCGCGTGATCATCAGGTCCAGCCCCCTGCACTAGGCAAAAAGGACTATTGGGGTCAGGTGACCCCAGTGTGGTGACCGTCCAGTCTCCTCTTGAAGATTTCCAGCATAGGTGACTGCACCACCTCTGGAGAGAATTTATTCCACGGTCTGGATACCCTAACTGTGAAGACGTTTTTCCTAGAGTTAAGCCTGAAATGGTCTTCCAGGAGTTTGTGCCCATTACTCCTGGTTTTCCCCCAAGGGTGCCCTGGTAAACAGTTGTTCACCGAGCCCTTGATATATTCCCCTGATGTAGCAGTAAGCTGCTCCCAGCCTTCAGCCTTTTGTTTTTCGGGCTGAAGAGCCCCAAGCCCCTCAGCCTTTCCTCGTATGGCTTGCCTTACAAGTCTTTGATCATATGGGTGGCTCTTCTCTGAACTGTCTCAAGCTTTTCCACGTCCTTGTTGAAGTGTGGCGCCCAGAACTGGACGCACTACTCCAGCTGCAGTCTCACCACCACTGAATAAAG